AACGATTTGCAAAGAGGGGTCGGAACGGTTTTTGTGTTTAGGGAGTAAGGAGATTGAAAGATAGAGAATTGCATAGCGATTTATAGTGGTTCGACTTTCTCAATCAAAGTCTACGTCCACTACCTTAGCTCCTCACCAAGGATTTTCCAACAAATTCACTAATTTGTTCTTTCTTTTGAGGATAAAGAGTAACCTTACAAACTCCCTAGTTTTTCCGGGCTAAACTAGAACCTTTCCCTAGCTTTTACACGGGATTAGCTAGAACCTTTCCCCTTTACAATAGGATAAAAGATGTAAACAAGAAAACCTCTCTAAGGTAGGTGTTTACAAGATTGAGCTCACAAGAACAAAATATTTACAAGAGAAAGATGAAATAAGAATGAAAAACTCTTCTCTTGTGTTTGATTGCTTGGATAGTTGTTCTCTTTCTTCTTCAAGTGTCCTCAGCTTGTATTTATAGCTTGGAATGAGTTTGAAGTCGTATATAGCCGTTGGGGATGTTTTGGAGCCGTTTGGGGATGATTTTTATACTCAAAAAGGTTGCCCAGAATAGAGGGAATCGGTACCCCTTCATAGGGAATCGATACCCCTTCATAATATTCAAATATTATGACCGTTAGGCTGTTGAACAGGGGGGAATCGGTACCCCCCTGGGGGAGAATCGGTACCCCCTGGACATTTTGTTTTTCTCAGAGGCAAAAACATGCAGGGGGTATCTGTACCCCCTGGGGGGTATCTGTACCTGGGGTATCTGTACCCCCTGGGGGGGAATCTATACCCCCTGGGCAATCTTGAAACCCCTTAAAATATTTTTGGCTCAAATCCGAATTTTAATTGATTTTGAATTATTTTTGAAACCTTTTAAAAACTTTGAATAAACTCAATTAAGTCCAAAAACATTTTGTAAATTCAATTCAAGTCCAAAAAACCATTTTGCCTTAAATTGTTAAATCGAAACATAGTTCAACACCTTGGTTTGAAGTGCTTTCTCAAGTGTCTCATCATTCCTTTTCTTTTTATATTGTTCGTGTGCCTCGAGAGAACCAGCGAGCTCGTTGACTGTGAGCGTCACAAGGTCTTTTGACTCTTCTATTGCGCACACAACATTCCCAAAATTGTCGGTTAATGATCTCAAAATCTTCTCCACAACTCATGCATCGGTTAACGCTTCGCCATTACGAATGAGTTAGTTCACCACGGTTTGTACACGCGTGATGTAGTCGGATACACTTTTCGACTCCTTCATCTTCATGCTTTCCAACTCGCCACGAAGAGTTTAGAGACGCACTTGCTTGACTCAGTCGGCTCCTTTGAACACTTTTCCTAAAATGTCCCACGCTTCTTTTAAAGTAGTTGCACCAGCAATCTTCTCAAAGCCCGACTCGTCAACGGCTCTGAATAACATGTATAGTGTCGCCTTATCCTTTGATCGTGCCTCTTTCAACGCCTTGGTTTGAGCCGCCGTATATCCTGTGGTTGTTATTGGTTCTTCGAAACCTTCTTCAACCACCTCCCATGCATCTTGCGATCCGAGAAGAGCTTTCATTTGAATGCTCCAGTTCTCATAGTTCGGCTTCGTTAGTCGTGGTAGCGGCATTTGACCCGTCACATTTGCCATTGGCTTTGATACCAATTTGTAAAATAGAAAACAAATTAACCCACAACTACTATACTATTTCCGAGTGATTTTGTATTTCTTTGAGTTGTATATAAATGAAATCAACAAGGTCCTTTATATAGGCACTAGGTAATATTCTATCAAAAACAAAAAATAAATTCTATTAAAACTCATAAAAGACAATTAACTCCTACATCACTCTTTAGCCTTATACCTATTAAAACTCTACACCTTTTATTTTCCCATTAACTTCTAAACTTAAAGAAAAATAAATAAAAACCACATTTAAGTTTATTCAACACAATTATGGGCAGATAGAGGCAGTTCTATGAGATTAAATAGGGCAAGGAGTATGCACAAAAAATTAAAAGTAAAAAACATGCATGCAGTTATGTTCGAGAGTAAATGTATTGCATCCAAAATACAGCTAACCCATAGTTCCAGTTAATAACGCATCGGTTTAGACTTGTAGTTACTAAATACGTGGCGGTCATTTTTTTTCATTTGGATTCTTCACTGAAATTTAATGATAGGGTAAACTATAATCTTGGTTTCTGAACTTTTAGTGTGTTTATATTTTGGTCAATTTTAAAAACAAATCGGCAGAGTCATTGTCGTTAAACATATCATTTTATTTAGAGTTGATTCTATTATATGTCCCCAAATTATAACCCTTATTTTAAAATGGTCATTAAACTTTTGAATATTTTAAATTCATCTACAAACTATGATTCTCATTCTAAATTAGTTCTTAAACTTTTTGAATATTCTAATTTCACCCATAAACTATAAACCTCTTTCTAAATTAGTCCCCAAACTTTTGAAGATTTTAATTTCATCCTCAAAGTCATCCAAACATGTAGTTAGTTTCAACCACATTTTAACCTAAATTTTTGTTTTTTCAAACATATAATAATATAACTTGGCCTAATGATTTTATTAACAAGGGATGTGATTAGTATATACATATAGTTTGGGATGAAATTGGAATTTTCAAAAAGTTTGAGGATTAATTTAATATAATAGTCATAGTTTAGGGATGAAATTAAAATATCTAAAAGTTTAAGGACTAATTTAAAATGATGGTCATACTTTGAGAATATATGATAAAATTAACGATTTCAATAAACTACATCATTAGTGATGGAGCCATCCGGGGCCACGTAGGGCCCCGGGGCCACTACCCTACAAAATTTTTTACCATTAAAAAAATATGGATAATTATCAATTTAGACCTTTAAATTTTAATTAAGTTTTGATTTCCCCTATTTTATATTGTTAATTATACTTTGCCCCATTAACTAAAATCCGGGATCCATCACTGTACATCATCTAATAGAGCGGCAATATATGTATCTTAGTAATGCAAATATTAAGGGATTATTTTTAGGAAGTTAGTTACCCAAGATTTATAAATTAAGAGGATTAAAATTATCTTAGTTTCACGTAGTTTAAAGAATCATTCTCATACATATATTTATAAGGGTAAAATATATCATTCTTCACTGAAATTTATACTCTCTTTTATTTCACTATAGTATTTTTATTTTTTCCAATTTACTCACTACACTTTTGAATTGCTTATATTTTGATCATTTTGAATTATTTTATTATTATTTTGATATGATGTGGCATTTTTATTTAATATAAAAATAATTTAAAATGTAAAATAAAAATAGAATATGGCCATCCACTACTCGTCGACGTTAGATGTCAACATCGACAATCGTAGATGGTGGTCATTTCATCCCAGATTTTATCGGCCACTTCGTCTCGACCCTTGAGTTTGAATCCAATCTCTATTTTGTTGGAACATGCTTCGAATCTAATAAAAAAATGAGAAAACCAAAAGGTTGGTCGTCGTCGACCACCGTAGATGGTGGTCGTTCGGTCCCAAGTTTCATGTGACTTTGCCTCGACCTTTTGAGTTCGAATCCGACCTCCATTTGGTCGAAATATGCTCCAAAGTCCATGAATATGAGATCAAAAATGAGGAAACCAAAATGTTTCAATTGAGATTCATGGGTTTTGTAGCAGTTTTCCGTGAAACAATCACCAGATTCAGACTCAAAAGTGGGGGCAAAGACCCATAAAATTTGGGATCAAACGGTTGTCAATTTCAAAGGATGGCAGTGATTAATGGTGGTCGACGGTGGGTGGTGATTGTTTTAAATGTTTTTAAATTTAGTAATAATAAAATATTATTTTATAATTTATTTTAAATTATTTATATATTTTAATAATAAAAAATGTCATGTCATATCAAAACAATAATAAAATAATTTAGAGTAACTAAAACATGAACAATTATAAAATTAAGTGAGTAAATTGAAAAATTTAAAAGTACAACGAGTGAAATAAAAGAAAGAGTAAATTAAAAGTGGACTCTGTAGTAAAAAAATATTGTTATTCTTTGAAGAACAATGTTCGAGCACTATAGATGTCAAATATTGAAAGGGTGAAAGTTATCTATGAACATATACTACTATGTAATATACCCAAGATTATTAAAAAAAATAAAAATAAAATAGAGCCATGGCATCCCAGCAGACACTGTACTAATAGAAACATGATGCTAAGGAGATATATTGGTAGATATTTTCATCTACTTCACCTTACTCGCCAAAAAAAATAAAATAAAAAATGAAAGGTCAAAATCCGGTAGATAAAATGTCCACCTAATGGTAATTAACCATGTGATGCTTTGTTTATTCAAATGAATCTTAACATTAAATTTTCAGTACAGCTTTGTTTCTTGTATATCTAGTATGGGGATGATGCTTCTCCAATTTCAACTTGACCTTTTAACCATGTGGTGTTTCACATGATTCATTTCCAATATAGTGTATATATATATATAGAAGTTTCACGTTATTTAAGAAACAACGATATGGTTTTAAATTAATAACCCATGCTTTCCTGGTGATTTTTTAAGCATTTTTCTAAACTATTGATATGTATTTTTATCTCCAGGAAATTTAAACATACTCGAACACATAATCTTTAAATTACTACAACTACAACGATGTTTATTTAGACTCAGTTATATTATAAACATATCGTCCCATCTATCATCAAATTTTTTTATCAGAATTATATTGTTTTACGTTAGGTTGAAGTTGATGTACTTAGATATGAATGACATATTTTATATTAAGGATGAACTTATAAAATTTTATGAGACTAAAATAAATTATTAAAAAAATTGTATTATATGAAAAATTAAAATTTTCAGAAGAATAGACCATCCATCAGTCCTCAATCCATCTCTGAATGTACCGTTTGTAATATTTTTTTTTCAAACAAGAAAAAGGTTTATGTTTTACGACTGTTACATATATCTTTCACTTTCTGACCTAACCTTAATGGGTTGACGTGGATGTTAGAATCTCATCCAAACCGGACAACTCGTGAACATGTGTTTTGTTACACCAACCCCTAATGCATCATAGTGGTGCTTCATGACAGACTTGGCTAAACCCGCATCAAGAATAGCTCCCAAACACTGCGCCACCATGTACAACACCGCTCGAACCAACAAAACCTTCCTCGCCGCGAACAGCCCCAGCGTTACTGTCGGATTAATGTCACCACTTGTTTAACATCTAATAACCATTAATGTAACCATTCAATTGTTTGATTGAATTAACGTAACGTTTTCCGATTACCAGATATGTCGGCGGTGCAGTAGACGAGAACGAAGATCATGCCGCCGACAACCCAAGAAATACCGAGGGTACCGACGCCGTCAGAGGGACTTGTTTGCCTTTTGTAACCAATAACAGTGGCAACTAATACGTAAAGGAATAAAAGAGTAGCAACAAACTCGGCAAGGACAGCTCTGTAAAAAGACCATCTCTTAAGCTCTTCCATGTCCAACAATGGAGATGGTGGGGGGTCTACGTAATCCTTACTGTGTACCTCCACTCTTTTTTCCCCATGGAAACGAACTCAGGCGATAAAACCACTTTCTTTTCTCAAACAATTTCAATTATGGGCAGATAGAGGCAGTTCTATGAGATTAAATAGGGCAAGGAGTATGCACAAAAAATTAAAAGTAAAAAACATGCATGCAGTTATGTTCGAGAGTAAATGTATTGCATCCAAAATACAGCTAACCCATAGTTCCAGTTAATAACGCATCGGTTTAGACTTGTAGTTACTAAATACGTGGCGGTCATTTTTTTCATTTGGATTCTTCACTGAAATTTAATGATAGGGTAAACTATAATCTTGGTTTCTGAACTTTTAGTGTGTTTATATTTTGGTCAATTTTAAAAACAAATCGGCAGAGTCATTGTCGTTAAACATATCATTTTATTTAGAGTTGATTCTATTATATGTCCCCAAATTATAACCCTTATTTTAAAATGGTCATTAAACTTTTGAATATTTTAAATTCATCTACAAACTATGATTCTCATTCTAAATTAGTTCTTAAACTTTTTGAATATTCTAATTTCACCCATAAACTATAAACCTCTTTCTAAATTAGTCCCCAAACTTTTGAAGATTTTAATTTCATCCTCAAATTCATCTAAACATGTAGTTTTTTCAACCGCATTTTAACCTAATTTTTTGTTTTTTCAAACATATAATAATATAACTTGGACTAATGATTTTATTAACAATGGGCGTGATTAGTATATACATATAGTTTGGGATGAAATTGGAATTTTTAAAAAGTTTGATGACTAATTTAGAATAATAATTATAGTTTAGGGATGAAATTAAAATATCTGAAAGTTTAAGGACTAATTTAAAATGATGATCATACTTTGAGAATATATGATGAAATTAACGCTTTCAATAAACCACATCATTAGTGATAGAGCCATGTATGACCCCGGCCCCACAAATTTTTTTACTATTAAAAAAATAAAGATAATTATCAATTTAAACCTTTACATTTTGATTTTGCACCCATTTTTTATTGTTAATTATAATTTCCCCCAGAACTAAAATCCTGGTTCTATCCCTGTACATCATCTAATAGAGCTGCAATACATGTATCTTATTAATGCAAATATTAAGGGATTATTTTCAAGAAGTTAGTTACCCAAGATTTATAAATTAAGAGGATTAAAATTCTCTTAGTTTCACGAAGTTTAAAGAATCATTCTCATACATATAATTATAAGGGTAAAATACATCATTCCTCATTGAAATTTATACTCTCTTTTATTTCACTCATAGTATTTTTAATTTTTTCCAATTTACTCACTAAACTTTTGAATTGCTCATATTTTGGTCCCTTTGAATTATTTTATTGTTATTTTGATATGATGTGACATTTTTATTCAATATAAATATAATTTAAAATATAAAATAAAAATAGAATGGGTCATCCACTATTCGTCGGCTTTAGATGCCAACATCGACGATCGTAGATGGTGGTCGTTTCGTCCCAGATTTCAATGGCCACTTCGTCTCGACCCTTGAGTTTGAATTTAATCTCTATTTTGTCGGAACATGCTCCGAATCTAATAAAAAAAATGAGAAAACCAAAAGGTTGTTCGTCGTCAATAGATGGTGATCGTTCGGTCCCAAGTTTCATGGGTCACTTCACCTCGACCCCTGAGTTCGGATCCGACCTCTATTTGGTCGGAACATGCTCCAAAGTCCACAAATATGAGATCAAAAATGAGGAAAACAAAATGTTTCAATCGAGATTCATGGATTTTGTGACAGTTTTCGGTGAAACAACCACCAGATTCGAACTCAAAAAGTGGAGGCAAAGACCCATGAAATTTGGGATCAAACGTTTGTCAATTTCAAAGGCTGGCAGTGATTAATGGTGGTCGACGGTGGGTGGTGATTATTTTAAATGTTTTTAAATTTAGTAATAATAAAATATTATTTTATAATTTATTTTAAATTATTTATATATTTTAATAATAAAAATGTCATGTCATATCAAAATAATAATAAAATAATTTAGAGTGACCAAAACATAAACAATTCAAAAATTCAGTGAGTATATTGAAAAAAAATTAAAAATACAACGAGTGAAATAGAAAAAAGAGTAAAGTTTAATGAGAAATGGTGTAATTAACCCTAATTATAAACTTATATACTTAACTATGATTCACAACACAATACATGAAATCAATTATTTATAACATTTATAGGGTGGAGAACTATTTCTAATTACCTTACATTCTCTAACATCAAGATGTTTAAATTAATATAATATAAAACATGTAAATCATTTTCTTCAGTTTTAATTAAATAAACTAGAGTAAATTCATACTACATTTTAAATATAAAAATCAGAATCACATTTTGTTTACAGATGTTTATAATTCTTAAAGTCTTAATAAGAGATTTAAATAGCGTTCGCGGTCGCTTTTTTGACCGCGCCGCATTTATCACGGTTGCAGACATAACATATGCCATCGAGATCACTGCGGGTGTCGCAGTCGTTAAATTTTTTAAAAATTTCACATAACTCATCCTAAAACATAATAATTATAATTATAATTATAAGGAGACATTTTTAATGATTTTTAAAATGCTTCAATTTCAATAAAAATTGAAATTCGTATATACATAAAGTTAAAAAAAATTAATGTATTATTGAATTTGAATTATTATTTAATTACATTAGTTTAACATGATAATAAAATGTAATAAAACATGAAAAATGAAGGTTAAAATGTTGAATGAAATTTGAATAAACTTAAAGAACACAAAATGACTAAATTAAATAGAATTAAAATAAAATTGTAGAAATTTAGATTGCTGAAATTAGGACAAAAAAAAACTAAAGTTTACATTCTAAAGTTAGATTAAATTATAAATTTTAAAAGGTGGAAGGAATGACAAATTAATATATCCCTTAAAAATATATTTTTAGAATTTATTAAAAAATTTAAAAAAAAAAAGTTGAAATGGGAATGGAATGGCCCGATCTATATTTTTCTTTAATTGAAACACAAACAATATTTTAATAGTTAAATAAAATTCCAGAAGTAGACTATCTCTTTCAATTAAAAAAAAGAACGGAAAGTTCCGTAAGCTTTATCCTCTCAACTCCCAACTCTCCAACTCCCGATTCTCAAAAACTCCATCGAACGTCGATCATATTCAACGGTGGTGGCCACCGTGTGATGATAAACACATGTAATTAAAGAAAAAAAATCATCTATTCTCTTCTAAACTTAGATCTAGAGATTTTTTACCTTTACAATTTTGGGTGAACATTTCAGTTTAGAAGAGAACTAAACATTAAGTCAACAGTTTATAAGGGATATTTTGATAGGAATGTAGGGATATTTTGATAATTTTCATTTAAATTCATAAAATTTATATTTTTTTATAAAATAAAAAATATAAAAAGGTTTAATGAAAGGGTAAAATTTTATTTTAATCCCTGAACTTCGAATAAAATTTTAATTATAGATTTTTTTTTGTAAATCTAAAATAGTTTAAGGATAAATTTGTTATTTAACCTTCGTAGAATTTTTATTATTGAATGACAGAAAAAAGATATTTTTGAAGAAAAAAAATTTAAAGGTATTTTAGTCTAAAATATCGATAATCCAACAATACCTAAGGAAATGAAGGTAATAACATTTCCGGTAATATATCCCAAAAAATCTACTATTAATAATAAAATATTACTGAGAATGAGATTCTCAACCAATCAAACATGAAAATGTAAATTATATTTTGATGAGAATCACACGTTCATTTAACCAAACATCCCTAACGCTTTAGGCTTTGGTGTGGTCTCTCTATTCTTATCGTAACGTCTAAAATGTTTGTGTTTGCCCTAATTCGACACGTGTTCTTTTGTTTCTATTGTTTGGGCTGTACAAGTGACAATTCCTAGGGTCAAATAGAAGTGACAAGGTACAGGTGCAGCATATCATCAAGCTTGTCCGACTTATTGACATGGAGTACATGTTTGTTGTCATATTATCATTAACCCAACGAGGGTGGGGATTTAAGCCACAAAATATGAGCTCATGGCTGACTGGTTCTATAAAAAGGTCTAGTAATGATGGTGGGTAGAATTATGTAAATATTCGTATCTGACTTATTATTTAGTTGAATAGGTAAACTCTAATTTTATTTTGAGATTTATGATAAAAATTACAGTGTAAATAGAATTCATCAGGTCAATGTGATGAATTTTATGAGAAATTATTTTTAAATGGGTCTTACGGGTTAAATATATTTAATAAATTTTTTGGACTCATTAAGCGGGTATGAGGAGTCCCTATTAAAATATATTTTTTTTAAAATTTAAAAAAAGATTGAATATATATATATATATATATATATATATATATATATAATATTTTAATGGCAACGGGACTCGTCACGTTATTGTGACGAGTTCCAATGGTAAAAATTTGAAATTTTCTACCGTTGGTCAATAATCAATTATTTTTAAATTCAATCGAACTTGTCACACCGGTGTGATGAGTTCCAACGACTATTTTTTAATTTTAAAAAACTATACGTTTATAGTCGTTGGATAGAGTAGTGTAAATAGGGGTTTGAGTTAGATTGATTTTTCACTTGAAATCAAACATTATATTGAGAGTAAAAACTTTTTGTTAATGATTTTGTGCTAAATGACCTCAAAAGAAGAAATGTTACGTCTTGATGATGTTTATATTTCGTCAATCGAGTTGATTATGGTAATTTTAATTTAATTTGTTTTATTTTACTTTTGAAAAAAAATATAGTATTAATAATAATAATTTATATAATTTTATTAATCAATTTATTTTAAATTGTAGCAAGAAGAACAAGGCATTCGTCATCGAAGAATGACGAATGAAGAGCCACATCAACGGATTGTGATATATCTTCAACAATCTGGATTATATCCAGTGAAATTTTTTCGATGTTTTAAGGTGATGTCGGCACTAAAATCGGCGTTGATTGAGCGTTGGAGGCCTGAAAATCATACATTTCATTTTCCTTTTGGTGAAGTGACAATGACATTAGAAGATGTTGCGTACTAACTTGGTGTTCTAATTAATGCAATGCCAGTGGTGCTTCGCAAAAGTTATGTGTGAGATGCAGTTATTTCTGATTTATTAGGAAAGAAGGCTCCAGTCGCTGTCATTGATGGGATACGAATACTGATGACATGGTTGAGAATTTAGAGTATATGGATAATTAACTGAGCAAGATGTGAAATATGAAGCCTGGGTATATCTTATGACATTGATTAGAAAGATCTTGCTACCAGATAAATTGGATAATTTATTACACACCCAATATCTTTTGGTATTAAAGGATTTCCTTGTATGTCACTAATATTGTCACCTATATAGTTGGAATTCTACAATTTTAACTTTTTTATATCATAAAACTTTGCAAGACGACCATAATAGTTAGAAGACAAAAAGCGAATGTAGCTAATTATTTAGTTTTACTCCAATCATAAGTTTGGTATCATCATATTTAGAGGTGTAAACGAGCCGAGTCAAGCTCGAGTATTACTAAACTCAACTCGAACTCAAAAACTGTAAGAGTAAACTCGACTCGAAAACTCGTAAGTTAAAAATTATCAAACTCAACTCAAACTCGAAATATATTATTAAAACTCGACTAGAACTCAAAAAGACTCAAACTTAAAAAAAAATTCAAAAACTCGATTGAAGCTCAAGACTCAAACTCAATTTTAAACTCAATTCAAACTCAACTGATTTTATGTTATATGAGAAAATCGCCTCAGTGACCAAAAATGCCTTATAATATACGATTTTAACCAACTTTTTTTGGATTTGCCAAAATGACCAACAAAATCGCAATGCGATCTCTAATTCGCAACGCGATTTTCAGTATCGCAAATTCGCGTTGCATTTCGCGTTGCATTTCGCGTTGCGATAGTTGAAAATCGCGTTGCGATAGTCTACAGTGTCGTTGCGATAATCTACAGTGTCGTTGTGATTTTCCATTTCGCGTTGCGATAGTCTACAGTGTCGTTGCGATTTTCCATTTCGCGTTGCGATAGTCTACAGTGTCGTTGCGATTTTCCATTTCACGTTGCGATAGTTGAAAATCGCGTTGCGATAGTGTACACTGTCATTGCGATCGTTGCGATTTTCCATTTCGCGTTGCGATAGTTGAAAATCGCGTTGCGATAGTGTACAGTGTCATTGCGATTTTCCATCTCGCATTGCGATAGTGTACAGTGTCGTTGCGATTTTCCATTTCGCGTTGCGATAGTCTACAGTGTCGTTGCGATTTTCCAAATTCGTCGCGATAGTCTATAGTAAATTAAAAAAAGATTTTGTTTCTTAAGAATTTTCTCTAAAAAGATAGTATCCGCGCGGACGTGTTGAAGACACGTACTACCACGACCACGACCACGACCACGACCCGACCACGACCACGAGACGGCGGCGGCGGCGGCGCGCGAGAGTCCCCCTTGTTCTCTTTCACTCAACAAGGAAATGGGAAATCCAAGCCTTAAATACACTTCCCAATAGTGTTTCCAATACTATGTGGGATTGAGCATTACTCAACACTTCAAAGAAAATATAGCAATTTTTGTAACATGTTTCCCACTTAATCCACATATCTAAAACATTTTATCATTTTATCAAGAGAATTAAAAGAGTTGTAGATATCTACATTTCAATTCAAACTTATACATATAGTTTTAATATGATAAAATTTTAATATTTTAGATATGGATTAAGTAGGAAACATGCTACAAAAATTACTATATTTTCTTTGAAGTGTTGAGTAATGCTCAATCCCACATAGTATTGGAAACACTATATGGAAGTGTATTTAAGGCTTGGATTTCCCATTTCCTTGTTGAGTGAAAGAGAACAAGGGGGACTCTCGCGCGCCGCCGCCGCCGCCGTCTCGTCTCGTCTCGTCTCGTCTCGGGTCGTGGTCGTGGTCGTGGTCGTGGTCGTGGTCGTGGTCATACGTGTCTTCGACACGTCCGCGCGGATACTATCTTTTTAGAGAAAATTATCGCAACGATACTGTAGACTATCGCAACGCGAAATAAAAAATCGCAACGCGATTTTCAACTATCGCAACGCGAAATAGAAAATCGCAATGCGATTTTCAACTATCACAACGCGAAATGCAGCGCGAATTTGCGATACTGGATATCGCGTTGCGAATTAGAGATCGCATTGCGATTTTGTTGGTCATTTTGGCAAATCCAAAAAAAAAATGGTTAAAATCGTATATTATAAGGCATTTTTGGTCACTGAGACGATTTTCTCATGTTATATTTACTGAAACTCATTCCTTTTATACACTCCACTTTACCCCTTATTCCTCTAGAACCACCAATGTGGGATATAACTCACATGACCAACTCCACGGGCGGTAGAGAGGCAAGCCTCTAATTTTAAATATAGTTTTAGGGAGGCAGAGCTTCCATTTCCAGGTACAATCCTCCGCCTCAAGGCGTTCTTTTTTTATCCATGAATATTTCAATCGGGGGAGCGCAACCAAGTTTCAAACCAAGTTCAACGCTTTGGAGCATCTGAAGGAAAGACATTTTATCTTTCAAGCTAAATATCGTATACTGTTACTGGAGAAAACAGTGGCGTTTTTGGTAAATTTTCAGCTCTTTCCGTTTTGAAATTTGGGATTGGTTATGTTAGGGTTTTTGTGTTTCAAACATTAATTTCTGTTTGGATGATGGGAAATCGGAATCCTGAGGATAAAGATGGGAACTTGAATAGTTTCCAGAGGGATAATAGGAGTAAAAATGGTAATTTTTTTAACAATGAGAAAGTTGGATCAAGTTCTAGTACGTCTTTTTATTTTGATGAATCTGAATTGGATGAAAAGGTTAAAGAAATGTCTTATAATATACGATTTTAACCATTTTTTATTAAGATTTCCTGAGTCGTTTATAGGTTTATTGGATAAGGATGGTGAAGATACAAAAGATGTGAAGAAGTTTAAATTCAGAGGGCCTGAAAAGATTTCTAGCAATGGCGCAAAGGGTTTTTCTGGTTTAACGAACGGTAGCAAATCGAGCTATGAGAATGGAATTTCGAAATGTGAAATCAAGTTTCTTGATAGCAAACAAATTGATACAGTTTATAAACCGATAAATATAGGACTGTTAAGAATGATGCTCTATTTAAATTTGTTACCTTCTGTGATCAGTTGAATTCGAGTTCATAGTTTTCATGAGGTCCTTGCAATCATTGGTTATTTGTTAAATTTATAGTGTTGGTTCAGAGAGCAGTGAAGGAATATTGTCTCCTGAAATTATAGAATCAACGGGGTCGAGAGATACGAGAATTGAAATTTAATGCCATACATTTTCCTTAATCCGTATGACTGATACGAGAACTGAAATTTGCAGGAACTTCGTGAAGTTGCAAAATCTCATGCCGAGGATGTAATTGTTGTTAAGAAGGGGCAGCTTAAGCTCTATGCAGGTCAACCATTTTCCCAGATTGAGATGGCTTTGCTGTCTATTGCAAACTCGGAGTAGGCTGGCCATGCAAGGATGTAAATCAGTTACACACGTATTTCCAGGAGTTGAAGACCGAAGTTGAGCATGTGATGCCACTTCCGGTTGGTTCTCTTCGAGCTTACAAAGCACGTCTTGATGAGAAGTGTCAAACCAGAGTGATCGAATTACCACATGAACAATCGCTCGGACTGTTGTAGTGGTCGTGAAATAATGTATCGAAAATTTTGTTACCATTTATTATTCGATTGATTAATTCTTCATCAATTTTCAGATTTTTATGCTCTGATAACTTGGGGATGTCTGAAGTTCCCTATTCTCATCTTTATGCTCGATATCGATCTCCGAACCTGAGAATAAGCTCTAAAAAGTGGATGAAATTCGTAAATTTCATTTAATTCAAGACGAAATAACATAAAATGTGTTATTCCAAATCATGTAAAGAAAGCATCTTCATGAACCCTAAGCTCTACCACAACCTGGTGAGCTGCTGCTAAAAGCCTTGCTCTAAAACCATACTAAGAAGAGATAACTTTGATCATACACTGAGCCTGAATGGGTGACAAGCTGGTCAGGCAAAAGCTTTGCCAAGCCTTTGGATTCTGGACTCCGTCCTCATTAAATGCCACCTTGTATACCGAAAACACGATGTTTCTTGCTGCTTCTCTGGCCTCGGGGAGTCTATCGTTCAACAAATCTGCAGCAAGTTGAAGCATTGTAATGAACCCGAACTCTTTCATTTCTTCCACACCCTGCAAATGAATAATCATATGTGATTATAATGTCAAATGAGGGAGATTATGTTCACAACACATTTTTATAAATTGTTCATTACCATTGTGGAAACAGAGTTTGAAACGGAAACAACTGATTTAGCTCGGACTCTAAGGTTGCGATGGTTAACATATCCGCTTATCTTCTTAAGCAGAGGCATGTTGTGTATATTTATTTTTCATGTTGATATGTTTATTTATAAGTATGCAAATGATTTATTTAGGAGTCACATAACATCATTTTGCATAATTTGTATGTTACCTTCATGTGCATAACTTAACCCTTATCACATAATCAAGTTTAGGATTTAAGGTTTAAGGTTTAAGGTTCATTACAAATACATTAATTAATCGACTTGGTATTGATTTATGAGGTAAATACAATATAATATTTTGATATTAAATGCATTACAATATGGTTTAGTTGTATTATAGAATTTTTAATATATTTTTAAAATTTTATAATTATCAATAATGTATTTTTAATAATGTAATTTTAAAAAATCTAAAATTATAATATAACATTTTTTCGAGCTGCTCACGAGCTTTTCGAGTCGAATATCGAGTAGCTCGTTTCGGCTCGTTAAGAACTCAAGTCGAGTCTATTCGACCTGAGTATTTATCGAGCCTTGATTGAGTCGATCTCGAGTAGCTCGCGATCTGTCTCGTCTCATTTACATCCCTAGTCATATTGCATCTAATGCTATGAAGAGGTTTAAGCAGAAAAAGATCAAAAAAGAGATTATCAACATGGGTAACTATTATGTCATTTCTCCTTAATTATTTTTGCTTCATTTATGTTATTTTTTGTATTTTTCAATAACATTTATTTTACCGCTTTTTAGGTACCGCTTTTTAGGGTACGCTTTACTGAAACCAAACTTCCGTGTACGGCTAGAAAATTTGAGAAGATACGGATATGATGTGTATGAATTCCCTGCTGAAATACCTAGGGAGAGATGGTCGCAAGCATATGATGTTGAGTGTCGATGTTACGGCCATATGACTACCAACCTTGCTGAATGTATCAACTCAGTGCTGAAAAAGGGATTCGACATCTCCCAATAGCAAGTATTGTTAGGGAGACTTACTTTAGGTTGGGTAAAGTATGGCAAACAAAAGTGTACAAATAGATGCCATGATCAGCAATGGGAGAAATTGAGCTCCAGATTTAGAGAAGGCAGTGCAAAAGAATCAAACACACACGACATTGATGTTTTTCCATAATTTTGCTAGACTTGATTATGATTTCGTTGTCCAAGTACTAGTTCGACCACATGTGGTAGATAATTCTACAACGTACACTAGTAATATGAATAGAAGATGGTGTGATTGTGGTCGATTTCAAGCTTTTAGATTTCCATGCGCTCACGTTGTTGTTGCATGTATGCACATTAATGTTGACTCATACTTATATGGTGATGACTGTTATAGCTTGCACACTATGCATAACATTTATATTTGTGATTTTAAGTACCTCCCAAATGAAGCATATTGGTCTACATCAAGAATTTCTGAAGAATGGTTTTCAAATCCTGAATTGCATAGGAAGTTAAAAGGTCGACCTGAATCTAGCCAAATTCATACCGATATGGATTATCCTCAAAGAGAGCCAGGTCTACCAAAACTTTGTGGCCACTATAAAAGTGAAGGACATAACAGAAAGCATTGTCCTCATCTTCCTAAATATCGGGTTGGACGCTAAAATAACCGTTAAAAATATTATGTTATCTTTTTTACTTTTACTCTTTTAATTATGTTTTTAGTTTGAACTCTAACTATGTTTATGAGTTTTTTTAGTTGAACATCATTACTTCAAACTTTCACTTCAATTCTTATATAATTGCAAACTATTACTAAATAAGTTTACTTAATCCAATAATTACTTAATTAATAAAGACAACTTCATACATAAATTAAAACCATACAAATCAATATTTGTACATATGTCATTTTCTATTTTTTTATATTTCTCTTCAATTTGTTCAATACGTCTAATTAAGACACCTTCATATTTTTCTTTTGTCGTGTTCTTCTTCTCAATTTCTAGACTAAAATTTTTAATTTTTTCTTCCCTCTCAACGAGTCGTTTGCTACGTCACTTCAGTAAATCCTCATACATCTTCTTCTTCTTCTTATCTTCTATTTTCATCATATTCTTCTTATGCTTCTCAACTATGTACTTTATTGCCTCTTTTTCCCACTCTTCATCTGAAGAAGAGATTGAATCCGAATCGTCGATCTCCGAGTCGATGTTGTCAAACCCATAAACACCATTTGCCAAATCATATCCAAATTTTGTAATGTTGATGTAACATTACCTTATGATGACGCACCAACATCATCATTAATCTTTTAACGACGGATGACTAAATCAGAACCAAAACGTAATGTTAGATATGATTTTGAGAAAGACATAATGTTTGACTAAATAGTCACTTTGGTATGTTCTTTTTTGAATCATTTTGATTCTAACTTCTGGTTGAATAATCATTTTGGCCCTTATTCTTTCTTTCTAGAGCATTTTGCCTTTCAATGTTTCATTTTAGGGTTAAAAATTCCCTATTTGTAGCGTTTATTATTTGTTGACTAATAGTTTCCATCCAAAAAATGACATTTTCCCCCTAAAATAAAACATTGAGGGCCAAAATACTCCAAAAAAGGATAGAGGTCAAATAGACTATTTAGTCAATTGTTAATGACATTTTTTGATATCATGCCTTTGAAACAATAGTTGGATAACCAAAACAAAAACTAAATAATAGGCTGGTGACTGTAACACCCCAACCCGTACCCAACCTGGATACGAGTCTGAGATGTCATATTGACTTTTTAAAACAATATTCTTACAAAATAATAGAACATTTAAACTTATATGAATAAAATACGATCATATACTGTTGAATTATGTTTTATTATAAAAAAATTTAAGGTAAAAATGTTTTTATGAATAGTACTATACTGTATGAATAGTACCATGAACAGTAATGAACATTATCGTGAACAGTACCGATGCTAAAAAAGTTTCCAGAATGCTACAGGGGTATCGATACCCTGCTATGGTGTATCGATACCCTGCTATGGTGTATCGATACTCTGCTACAGTAATTCCGGCCAACATATATAAAACTCATAAAAACTTAACATTTCATCACTATAAAGTTATCATTTACATAAATACGTTTAAAACATTACAAAACTCAATCATATGATTTTACAAAACCGATTAGAACATATCGGATTCAAACCTTTATTTACATGCCAACCACAATCAGTATTACAAAATACAAACTATTCATTTCTTTTATGATCTGATCTTTGGAAAGGAGAAACTGACATGTCTTGCATAACTTTTATCAATCTTCCTCTTCTCGGAACCTACGTGTAAAACAATCACATGCTAAGTCATTGACTTAGTGAGGCATATAAAACACATAATAGAAATTATAAACCATTTCACATAATAGAATGTATACATGTACATATACTATCATTATCAACATCAACATCATTATCATTAACCCATTTATCATATGATCTTATACTTATCATTTCTGTGTATCATATAACACATATATATAATTTCACAAAGAAACACATATAACATCATATAATTCCTGTAAAACATTTCATATCACCAAAAGCATATATATATATATAACATATATTGTATTTGTTATTATCTCTTTATTAGACCATGTACCCATATCATTCAGTGTAAACAATAATAACACGATATCATATAATAATGCAAATACTTTTGATATCCTTTATAGGCCCATGCATTAACCCATGTATAGTACTGAGAACTTAAGGTATGTGAGTACACTGAGGTTGTGCACACATATACTGTCACCACAACTCGTTTAATAAATTGTCCATATGTCCCAAAGAACATAGGTAAACTGTCCATATGTCCCAAATAACATAGGTAAATTGTCCATATGTCCCGAAGAACATAGGTAATCCTGTCTATATGTCCCGAAGAACATAGGTAATCATGTCCATATGTCCCGAAAGACATAGGTAACCCTCGACTATTGGCATGCCAACTATACCCCTAGCTCTCATATTACATAACATAGGCACTATTATTGTGAGTCATATTATTGCTCTTATGATCACATATTTCTTCTCTTCTGTCACATACCACATGTATTTGTAACCATCTATCTCATATCATATAACATATAACACCTATTCACATAATCACATAGGTTCATGTCATATAAAAAATATCACAAGTGCATGTAATCACGTATTCATGTAATCACGTAGATTGTTTCATATGGCTTATATCATTTCTCATTTGTTCATGTACGTATGCCATATCTTGTTCATATATGTTCATATATACATCACATAGCACATAGAATAACATATAAACTTATACATGTACTCATATACATACCTTCATATAGTCCGTATATCAATGTCATATAACTTATCTCACAATTTTACATATTCATATAGATCATGTCATATACAATAACATATACATGTTTTCATGTATTCATGCACACATAAGAATCACATAGTCACGTAGTTCAATTACAAGTAGATCATTTCCATATAATTCACATGTCACATGTACCTTTTCTCATATATCTCATATAATCATATATATCTTATTTCATACATATATCATATACGCATACCTTCACTTATCTCATATCATATAATTTATTTTTTGTCCTCTTATGTTCACATGACATATAATGCATACAAATCATATTCACACATGTCTTTACTCATGAATTCATACATCATACAAATCATATTATTCACATGCTTATATTTATAACTTCATGTACTATAATTATAGGAAATAGACTTATCGCAAGTCCAATTTCCATATAATTCTATATCAAAATAAAATGCACTCACCTTGACACTTTATATATCCAAATCCACTTCTATGATTTTTCTCTTTGGATTGATCCTAACTTTGTAGTCATTTCAAAACTTGTTTGTGCTTGATATCTACACAATCATACATTTATACATATCAGATATCTACACCTTGTAATTTGATGCTAATAACTTAAACGAATTTAATATACCCATATTCACTTTTTTATTTAGGGGTATAGATACACTCCTTAAGGTATTGGTACCCTTATTACATTCTGGGAATTTTTGTTCAAGAGGGTATCGATACACTCTGCCCAAAACATACTTTTTCACTCGAAAATTCATTAACTCTTCACTGAATTTCCTCATACAAAACTCCTTTCATACCACCAAACTCAACTACAACCATTTTAACTAACTTCTATCATTCCAACACTTTATTATCTCCCTTACTTCATTCAAATTCTTAAAGTTAAGAATCACATCAAATTTTCCATGTTATCCAAACTTAATTCTAACACTTATAACTTCTTATTCCCTATATGACAAGTCAAATTCAATCTCAAAGTTCTTTTATCAACTTTTTTTTCAGAAATTCATTTAGAAACTTCTTATCTATAATCTCTCATAACTTCTTCATCTTTTGATTTTAAGACAGCTTAAGCTTTCCTTAAGCTTAAGTATCACTTAAGGATCAAAACCCATACTTAAAATCAACAAATAATCAACAAATCAGAAAACTTACCTTTGCTTGACTCTCTCTCTCACGTATGAAGAAGAAGAAGAAGAAGGAAGAGATTTCTGGAGAAATCTCTCAACCTTATCCCCATATATATCATTATCTTATCATTTCCAAGTCAAATGATCATTTTACCCTTTAATTCTTTTAATAATTACTAACAACCCTTCGGGAAATATTTTCAATTAAGTCATTGAACTATTCAACTTTTCTACTTTAATCACCAAATTCTGAAGTTTTACAGTTTAGTCGCTAACCCGTAGTTTGGGATGTTACAGTGACAAAATAGCTAATTTACCTAAAAATAGTTGAAATTTAAAACGACTTGAATTTAAAATTAATCAAAATCAAAATGAGTTGAAAAATTTAAGGTAAATTACACATTTAGTACCTAAACTATCAGTTTTAGTGCCTAAACTTTTAATTGTTTTAAAACCATATCTAACGTTTAGTTTTCATTTTATTTTAGCGACTCGCCTTTAAAAAACTAAATGTTTTTAGTACCTAAACTATCAATTTTGGTTCGTTTTAGTACCTACACTTTAAATTTTTTTTCAAAACTTAACGTTAAATTTTGAACGGGATACTAAAATGAAATAAAATCTAAAGTTTTTATCTGTAGGGTACTGAATGAAACAAAAACTAAATTTTGGGTATGATTTTGAAAAATTAAAAATTTATGTACTAAAACAAACCAAAATTGACAGCTTCGGTACTAAAAGAATAATTTACCCAAAATTTTAACCCAACCCAATTTGGAGCAAGTTACAGGGACGTGGCTCCAGTTTGCACACTTTTGAACGACCAAATGGGACAAACCAATGCCTAAAAGCATTCCACGTTCGTCATTGAAGTGGAGGCAGCTTCTTAGTACAAATATTCTTTTTCCATTATCACTCTCCCTCGAAATCCTCTCTTTTTTGGTCTTAAACTGAGTTCCACTACTTCTGGGAACTAGTAATTAACTTCACTTCATACTGCTTCATATCTACCTCCAAACCCATAGACCCCAAAATAAGGAAGATGTATGGAAAGACATTAACCTTGCTTCTACACACGATAACTGTCCATTTGATGTTGTAGCCTCACCACCTTCTGATAATAAAAGGGTCCAAGAATCCGATGGGATCGCCGGCACAGGCGTATGATCAAGAACCGTGAATCTGCAGCTCGATCAAGAGCTAGGAAACAGGTAAGCACCTTGTTTTCTTCGGTTATTGAAAGCGTCATTAATCTCGAAATTGATCATCCTTTTTATATGCAGGCTTACACCAATGAGTTGGAGATTGAAGTTTCACATCTTATGGAAGAGAATGCAAGACTAAGAGAGAGCAAGAACAGGTAAGGCTGATCAAATCAAGGATTCGTGAATTAGTAATACAGTAGTTGACATTCTGCCCTTGCTTTGTAAGTTACGCGCAGGTGGTGCCTCTCCGCTTTCTAAAAAGCGCACGCTTACGTTAACGGCTCCATTTTGAGGAAAAATAGATCCGTCCATGCTTTCCTTTTAACAGTAACCCAATCTTTCTTTGACATCTATCGTTTGTTAAATGATCATTTTAGTCTTTATTTCTTAGCATTTTGATCTTTAGCGTTTTAAGTTTTTATCTAAATATCAATTACTAGATGAAAACTACCAGTTAACTAACAGTCAATGAATGTTATTGATATAATATTTTCACACTTGCTTAATTAATGACATATCATATGTCACTTCACTAGAGTGGTAAACGTTAATTGTTAGTCAAGTAACAATTTTCATCCCTGTTATTTTAATAAAAATTGAAATATTTAGACTAAAATACTAAAGGTTAGAAATCAAAGTAATTGAACAAATGCTGGAGACTAATTTTGTCACCATATATATAATCTTCTTCTTCCTACATATGGAGAGGTTCTTCAAGCTAGCAAAGGAAGCAACCTTGGTTTATAAAGACGCTAGGCGCATCGAGACGCAAAAGGTTTCTGGAGTCTAGGCGTAAGGCGCAGGCACGCACCTTTCATAGGAGATGCGCACTTTTTATGTTAATAAGTTAGATAATTTATTCTAGAGTACATTCACACCCATTACCCACTAATTCACTCCTAAAATACTTATCTCTTCACACCCTTTCCTTTCATTAAAGTGTCAAGACTCGTTTACCCTAGTTTCTAAAGTATTTCAACATAGAGTAAATATCTTAATTTTGATAAGAAAACATGGATATAGGACAATTATATGGTCATCATGGAACAATAATTTATATTCAATAATTTTATTTATTTTTAAATATTACAAATTAATTTTATTATCTTATATAACTCTAAGTTATTATAAAAATTAAATTTTATATTTAATAAATTTGATTACTAAATTTTATTTTATTTAATATTTTAATATTTTAAATTAATTATATATTATTACATGAATCAATTTTATTATTATTTATTAAGACTGTGGCACCTGATCGTTTTCGAGAGAGATCCACTGCCTTCTTTTCTGTTTTTCTTTCGTCGGTCTTCTGCAGCCTTCTTCTATTTCTTTTATTATTATTTATTAAAATATTAAATTCTGAAAGAAAAAAGAAAAAAAACCTTCCATAAGCGCGCAGGCGCTGAGCCCGGCGCCATTCGTATAGCGCCGAGGCGCGCCTTTGAAAACCCAGGTCAGTGAGTGGTTGATGTACAGCTGAAATTGTTTCAATAGAAGCTAACATAACAGTTATGCATGCCACTTGATCGACTGATAAGTGTAAACAGCTTCCAGTAATCGGATTTATTCCAAAGATTCAAACCCGAATGGCAACAACATCGTAAAGTGGATTGGACAACCATGCTTCTAAGGAAGCAATAAAAGATGAAATGTAACCGACTGCATACAGCATGAATCTTTTTCAGCCCTTGGGAAACCTGGCTGATTTCTAGTGCAGTTTACAGGCAGAAATGTTTTCAAGATAAGCTACCGTACATAAAGATAGCACTAAAAGATGACCCCATAAGACTTCAAATGAGCATACCAGTGTTACCTAATTCACCCCCCACCCCCATGAATCTTGTTTGAACTCATTCGGGATTTGTTCCTGTTCCTTCGTTAAGGAAGGCATGCTGGAACGATCAAATTGGCGTACCGAAAACCCAACACAGCAAAAGCAAACAAAGTCGATAATAAGAAAACAGAAAGAGGCATCGGAAGAAAATAAATTTAAGTTGCAGTGTTTGCACAACTCTTCGTTCAATTAAACAATGGGAGGAGAAAAATCCATTTCTAATCTATAAAATGAATCGGTCATCACCAAATTATCCCACCCAACGAATCATGACCCCAAAATCTGTTCCAAACAAAACCACCTCCAACAAACCGTAAACGGTGAAACTAACTAATTGTGATCCCGTACCGATTCCGTGAACCATGAATTAGATAACACTAGTACAGACAATATGCTTGTATGCTCATTCATGTAGCTTTGAGGAACACCAATCATAATTTCTAAATCCCAAGAACGATTCTCCATTCGAAAATGCAATTCGAGTAAGATGAAGCAGCAGTTTACAATAATAAATAACAAGATAAAAGGATCTCAACTCCCTTTCCTATTCCTTATTTGTTGCAGCTGAGTCCTGAGGAGCGTTATCTTTATCAAGCATCTTCCCGTCGGTCGGCACCAAACATGGGATCCCATCCTTTATCTAATAAAACCACATATAAACATAAGTTACAGCCCCATTTATACATCTAGCATATACCCAGAAATTGTATAGGGCTTTGATGTCAATAAAAAGGTGGAATTGCAACCAAGTTCAAACAATCGAAATCAAAAAGGGGGAAATGGGAATATAGCTCACGGGAAAAGAGACCCCAACAGAATCACTGATAAGAGAAGTCGATTCCTCACAAACCCTGTCCCAGTAGCAATCAATCAACCAACCAAAAGAAACAAAGTCAGGAAACAGAAGCATCGTAAAAGGGAAGGGAAAGCGAAGGAGAGAGCACCTTAGAGTTTGTTTAGAGAGTGGACATACGAGGATCTCCGAAAGAGTTTTGCTAAGTCCGGTTCCTGCATCTTTTAGTAGCCAGTTGGTTAATCTCACCATTTTCCCCCTTTTTGCCTTCACTTTGAGCTCGTGCGATACTAGCGATGGTACAGGTCCTCACAGCACTCAATGGTTTGCGTGAGCTTCGGGTCTAGTTTGCTTTTGGGTTCTGGTGGGCGGAGGGCTGTTTGGAATTGGGTTCGTGGATGATATATGGGTTATGTAGCTCTGCTATGCAGGATGTACCATATCGATTTTTTAATAATTTGAGATTATTATAAAATATATATTTAAAAAAAATTATTTATTTAATAATAAACGTCCAAATATTTTTATAGACGTAATCAAACTTAAAATCTCTAAAAATAATAATAATCTTTTAATTATTATAATCATTTGTTTTGTACATTAGATTAGATCGAAATCTTTGTTTGCTGGAATAGCAATGATTCTTAGGGCACTGCAATTCAGGGTTAGAGGAGAAGGTGCCATTATTCCCTTTAGTTGGTGTTAACAAACGATAAAATTGTTCTTGCCAAATGATCAATAAATTTGGTATAAGACAAACTTGACTACATGCCTAAAATTTATGTTCTTCTAGAGCTTGTTGAAGAAGTTGAGGAGGTAATGATATAGATGCAAGAATCACTTGTAAATCAGCACGTTGGATGAAAATTTTATATTATGTTTATGGCTTAATTATAAAATTAATACCTAAACTATACCGATTTTCACGAATTGATGCCTAAACTATTTTTTGAATTCTTGTGTCTAACGTTACAAATGGTATCATTTTAGGTGCTTAGGATGTAAGCCGTGAAATTTCATTGTTAAGTAACATGTCACTCTCTGGTAATTTTAAAAATTTTATTTTTGAAAAATACTTCAAATATTATTAAATTAGTTGATCCTTATTCCCATATGTAATGGGATAAGGGGGAGGTAAAATAGTTGGCTGCTCCCAACGCCAGGTTGGGAGCAGCTTCCGTAGGAGACCTCCAAATTATGAAATACCCTCTGTGGGACTCGATCCCACGACCCCAAGGTTAAAAGCCTTGTGCTCTACCAACTGAGCTGGATGGTCATTTAACTTCAAAATATTATTATTATTATTATAAAAACCCTAAACTTTTCTTTTTTACACAAAATACCCTACAATTCATAAAATTTCTTATTCTAATCCCTTTGCTCCGGTAGCCGGTCTTCTCCGATCACCCATCCATCGTCGATTGATCATCTATTTGTTGTTAGCCACCCAATGATCGGTCATCATCATTGTTATCATCTCAAACCTCAAAATTCCTAAATTTCTAAACTTAAATCTCTAATGCCTAAAACTCAATCTCTAAAACTAATAGCCCTTAATCTGAAAATAAACCTTAATCTGAGATGAATAGTAGGGGATCGTTTTAAGAAAAAAATGTTTTTTAAATATATTATTATTTTAAAAAAACTTTTTAAATGTATTTTCTTTAAGAAATATACTTTTACATGTTGGTTTCTATGAGTTTTGGAGTTTGTTGTAAGTTTGGAATTTAAAAAAGAGGTGATCTCATTTAGCTTCTCACAAAAAGTTTGAGAGTTTTCCCTATGTTCGAAGAGAAGAAGAGAACGAGAGGTTTTCCCTTGAAAAAATTATTAGATTGATTTGATTCACCATGTCATCTGTGGTCTTAACCAATAAAATTTATCCATTTCATTTTTTTTCAAGGTGAATCTTCACCTATTTTCTACTTGTAAATAAGGAGTTTATTGTTATTTAGAAGTTACTCTGAAATATACGAGTTTTATTGGTTGAGACAATGGATGACGTGGTGATTCAGGTTCATCAAATAATTTGCATGCTAAGGGCTCCCCCTTATGAATGGAATTTTTATTTTCATGTTTCTAGCTTTTTATGTTCACTTTATTTGATTTTGATCCTTTCTTGTACATTAATGAATTTTATTAATACTTATGATTTGGGTTTTAAACTTGTTTGTTTTTCATTTTAGTCCCTTTTTGCTTGTTTGTTTATGTTTTGTTGTTTTATACATTTGATACCTTATTTTTGCATCTTTCATTTTAGCCATGTATGTTATTTATAGCTTTTTTTAGATTCAAGTACCTGTATTGTATGATATTTACTTTGGGATCTTTGATTTTTGTCATGTTTAAATTTTTTCGTTTAAAGTTGTTTTTTCATTTAGTCAATCATTTGCATAGTTTGGTAAATTTTTATTATTTTGCATTCTAACCCATCACATTTGTATGTTAGCATTTAGGCCCCTCATATCTCTTGTATATGTCCATGTGTGTATACGTATTATATTTTAAATAGATGCTATAGCTTTAATTATTTATTCAATATTCTGTAAATGTTTTTGTTTGACTTTATATTTATTTATTTTCTCTAAATAGATTTTCTCTTAATATTATTAATAATTGTGTGCATTAATTCTTTAATTAACATGCTTTACTATTTTATTCTACTTTCTGACGCATTTATGTTTGAATCATGATTAGTTTT